TTAGTAGACATATAGCAACGACAAGATACCAATATAAATAAAAAAGAAAATTTATATGTTATATGTTATATTTGTTATAATTTGTCTTGTACTTCCTGTTACAACTATTGTAACACAAACAATAAATTTTCATATGTCATAAATCAATAGATGATTTATATGGGTATCTTGTCGTTGCTATATGTCTACTTATATTTATTAAATATGTTTATTAAAAATCCATGTACTCATTAATTTTTTCAATGTATGTATGTATTGTTAGCAATCATATGCATGGTACACATTTTCTCTATTTAGAGACTGAAGAAAAAGAAAAAAGAAAAATTGTTACAATTATAAAATTTGGTTGTTGATGCTGGTCTTGTTGATTTTGTTATTGATATTATAGGTGGTGCAATTGGTGCAATCGCCATTGGTCATATTTTCTTCTTATTTATCTTTGATTATCTCTCTTTTTTTGATTATTCTCTCATTTCGACTTCGCACATAAATGATGAAAACACGAAAAGTTTTACGTTCAGTGTCTGGGCATCTTCTTTTTTTAATTTGTTGCGTTGTAAAAGATTGAGCTATATATTATGACATTTGTATATACAAAAAAGAAAAAAAATATGTACGAAACTCAAGCAAAATTGATGGATATGGTGATAATTATAATTTCACATTCTTCTTCCGTCCTTTTCGGAATGTGACATTGCATATATTGCACATAGATAATGGACGAATACAAAGATTGTTCGATTAACATTTATTTTTATTGAAAAAAACATCCACCGCTTATTAATATTGATGGTAGAATCCTGAAAAGCCTCTGGATCATAATTAACTAACAGTATTGATAATGTCGCATGTAACTCGTACACTTTGAACACAAGCTGGAGCACTTAAGTATATTGCCGAACAACAAAGAAATGAGAAAAATAATAATTTGGCGGATATATGAAATATATTGAAAAAATTTATTTAATTGTGTTTAGTTGAAGTAAAGTTTTATATTCATTCAGTTTCGAATCATAATCGGATAGAAGAGGACCAAAAATCTGCTGACTTGGATGTTTTTAATCATAAATATTGGTAATTTCTTAATTTCGCTGATCTTTTGAAATAATTATTGAGTGATATACTCGTCAACCAGCGTCATACATATCAAATTATAATCGATAAAAAGAAGAGTTAAAATGTGGACCAATGATAGTGAATGAATTCTGCTCTGTAGGAAACCATCACAAGTGTATTTTGATCTTAGTTATGATATTGCTGTCAATGCATCTAGAGATGAACGTGATTTCTTTACTAATTTTATCCAGCTGTAAATATTTGATTATTTGTTTTCATCGCGCATATATTACTACCTATATACGCTACACACGAAGGATTTCCATTCATATACGAGTGGTTAAAAACATAGACAATGACAGTACTATGCTATGGATAACGGTGATGAAAACGCTACATATCAAAGGATAAATTGATGAGAATTTTTTCAATTAAATGTATTATTCAAACTGTATATTTGTTGAAAATCTGCTAGGAGTAGTTCGGCTTATCAATAACTGCTCGGTAGTAATACTGGAAGAATTGATATTGTGGGTTTTAATACAGATTATACTAGCGCAGATCAGCTTGGTATCTACAATCGTTTATGTATTATCATGATTAAATTCAACAACTTTTATAATCGAATTGATAAGACAATAAGCTTCATCGACACTAACATCGAAGCTATTAATGATTGTATATTAACTACTATAGATAGTAATGCTGTTGTAAGCGGATAAAAAATCCTTTTAGTTTTCATTAAATGTATTTTTGCTTAATTTGTTGCGAATGAATTGATTTATTCGCTATCTTTTTTTCAAATTTTATTTTATTTGAAACAAACTGTATTTTATTACTGAATAAAAACGGGAGAGATTTCTGCGTCACACCATCTTCACAATACTATTAATCAAACACAACTATGAAAAGGCTAGTACTTGAAGAACTTTCTTTTGTTATTGCTTCCTATTGTTAAATAAAAATCTCTTATTATGTTCACTCATATGGCAGATTTTCTCGTGCAAAAAGAATCTAGCTAAAATGTAATATATTTGCAGAATATATTTTTCGCCATTACATTGGAAAATTTGATAAAATAGAGAAACTTTATTTGTTGTTATTCATACATGGATAAATACTTGTTATGTACGCCCTTCAATTTCTCAAAATACGATATTTGGAAAAAATAATAACTTATACTTGTTGAAATAATTGGCAAACCATTAATTCTTAGCGAACAGGCCAACTATACAGCTTGAATATCTGTGAGAAGAACATTGTAATTGATCGTTTCAACATAATTTTAATACAGATTTTTTTTCTAGCAAATAGAGCTGGAGAAAAATAAAAGTTTAGACTATGTCTTGTATTGAATTTCTGATTTCTATGCTGGCAGATAATGATTAGAATGTTTAGACAATTGAATGCAATCGGATGTGCATAACAATTTTATTCTTCTCGGTGAATCACTCATGAAACAACGAAGTACGGTATGCAAGTTTATTCTTTGGATCAAATTAAATATAACCGGTTGATTTAATTGAACGTTTCTAAAAAGAATGAATATCGTTCGCTGAATAGAAAAACATCAATAATATTCCATTAACAAATAGATCAGTTTCGTAAAGACAGCTCATCAACTTGACTAATTATCAGATAATAATATAAGTGTAGTTGATTCATAACAAACTGCTTCTAATATTCGACCTTAAAACGTTATTTAATTTATCATTTCTCTCTCGAAAAAAATAAGAAGAGGAACTCTTAATCGTTTAAATAAATATTTTCTCTACAAAATAATTGGGATGCAGAATTTTCATTATTTTTTTTGTGTTCTCATCAAAGATGCTGATAATAACTTAAGAAAGGAAAACCGTAATGCTTTGTTCTCACCATATAACAAACACAGAAAAGATTGACATAACACCATCAATTATTCGGAAAAAATTTTATCAACATCAAGTGTCATCTCTTCATTAGTAATGTTTTTCATTTTAAATAAGGTGTTGTATTTGTTTTTTTTAACTATATTGAGTAATTCGTCACTTGATTGATAAAGGTAAAACTCGTTTGGTGTTGTTCAGACATGTTCTCTATAAATAGAAATTCAATATTCATAAATATTCGCTTGCGACTATATTTCGTCATTAAGTTGCGTATTTCATGTCATTTCTGTGAAAGACAAATCTGAAACGAATTCATCCTCGAATACTCTTAAAAGTATTTATTTGTTTTAGAAAAAGGTGCACTAACGTGATACCTACACTTTTGCGCCACCAACGAAGTTTTCAAAAGTTCGGGAGTTTTTTTTTACAATATCCCTGTATAGTACGTTTCCCAAAGTCAAAATTTTCTCTATGTGGATGCCTATTTCAACAATTTCTGAATTAGTTATGTTTAATATTGTGTTTTTAAATATGTTAAAATAATTCATTTTCAATCACTATTGGTACGGCATGTTCCATTTTCCAATACTGGAATTATATTTTGACATAGTTTTATTGCCTGCCTAAATGAAATCAACAAGAATTGTGTCCGTTTATTTGGATTTTTTTGTGAAGTTTATCATAATCGTGACACACGAATGTATGAATCAATAACCTTATTTTTTCGTCCTATTCTTCGAGTATCCAAGAATATACATTTGCGCGAGCTAACTCGAAATAGAAAAATGGGAAAAAGAAACTGAAGCATTTTTGGACTACTCCGTAATATGATACTTCAAAAACAATATTTTGTAGTTGTTTTTCATTATTGCTTCTATACAATCTTTGCAATTATGTAAATTTGTATAAAGTGCCTTCATGTACTTTTTTTATAGCAGCTTATTTCATTGAATAAATGCTATATATTCTAGATAATATTATATATATATATATATACTGGTTCAAGTTAAAAATGAACACTCAGTGTATATTCTGTTCCGTGCAGTGTATGAGTGGGTGTTGTTCACGATGTAATGAAATCAGTCGTGGTCAGAAATTTGCACGGCTACTGCAGCATTTAGAAAAATGCTCTGAAAGTATAATCTATCATGATGAGATTGCTAATATGGTGCAACGGATTCGAGAAGTAAGTCTGTTGAAGTCATGAGATTGATATATAATCCAAATATTATAGCTCGATTTGGTTTTGGTGCCTCTTCAATTTCATCCAAATGAAATCTTCGACGAGATCAAGCACAATGAAGATAAAATAGCAAAGAAATACCTTGAAAAGGCGACTGGTGATGTACATCATCTTATTCCGGTCGAAACTATTCCTGACGGAAACTGTTTATACCATTCTATTCTTCTTCTGATGGAGAATCCAGCGGTGACGACAGATGAATTACGGGGTATGAAATTCTATCTCCCATTAATTTCGTTATACAATCTATTTGACATAATTTTTAGTTCGAACAGTTATCGAACTTATAACAAATGAAACTTATTATGACAACATGTATTCACAATCCGTCGGATCTGTTGAGTTTTCTATCCAAGCTACGTGCAAAAATAAGACATTTTCTGAACTGTACGAAATTAGTGCATTATGCAATGTACTTAGATGTAATATACGAAGCATCTATCCAAAAGTTGACTTTCGAGAAGGTATGGAAATTATGAATAACACCTTTACACCTGCTCCACCTACCATTGCCAACTGTGGCCTTACAATTTTGTGGCCCCACACCTGGTACGAGACAGATGTACGAGCCGTTAATAATAATTTATGGAGTCCCAATCATTTTGTTCCTCTTATGTCATCATTTGTATATGATATGTCTGATATGTCTGATCACAGTAACATGTCAACGTCAATTGTTGTGGTAAGTGATACATTTACAGATGGGAGTTTGAGAAATTTTAAAATTTATTTAGACTCCTAAGAAGAAAACGTTTTAGAACAACACTTCCGCTCAAATACGAAGTCCTGAATTTGAGTCTCCTTCTAACAGACGTTTTCGTAGTGAAAACAACATGGGAATTGACACTGTTCAATTAAATAATTCAGATCCAATGCGAGAAAGTCAAAATGGCATGCCAGAAAAACGTCAAATCCGACTTGACAAACGAAAAGAACAGTCTCGATCCAGTCGAGCGAATGAAACGGAAGAACAACGTCAAATTCGTCTTGAAAAGCAAAAAAAGCGAGATCAATCGAGTATGGCGATTGAGACAGACGAAGAACGACAAATTCGTCTTAAAAAGCTAAAAGAACGGTCTCAATCCAGTCGAACAAATGAAACAGAAGAACAACGTCAAATTCGTCTTAAAAAGCGAAAAGAACGGTCTGGATCCAGGCGAACAAATGAAACAATAGAACAACGTCAAATTCGTCTTAAAGAGCTAAAAGAACGGTCTCAATCTAGTCGAACAAATGAAACAGTAGAACAACGTCAAATTCGGCTTGATAAACAAAGAAAACGAAGTCAAGCGGATAGAGCGAAAAAGAAACTCGAAAAACGCTCATCTAACAAAAGTGGTGTTCAGCAGCAAGATATTGAGATGCAATTTGCTGAAACAGATGACCATGCATCGTGTGATAGTAGCAGCCTAAGTAACTTTATTCAAAACGAAAATGCTATAAGGAAAAAGAGGGACTTAAGTTGCTCGGCTTGGCCTCAACCAATTTCTCGTGAATCAAAAGAGGCCAGTTTACAACAATTTCTCCACGAAATGTCCATGTTAGCACTGGCCGAAGCTACTTGTGCAGCTTGCAACGTGCGCAGTCCAGTACAAACGTCGAAAAAAGTAGAAGTCTCAAAAATCCCACATATTCATTTACTTAAAGTTTCTGATGAGCTCAAAGATTTAATCATAAGTACCCAGACATCAGTCTCACAACATTCGAACGGAGACACAGGAAACTTAGCGAACAATAATGGCATACAGATGACTGGAAACGTTCAAAGTAAGTTATGATTACCACCGTTTGAGAGACATCTACAATTTTTAACTATTTTAGGTCCTGCATATTTCAGCTCATCAAATTTCTATTGTGAGAACGGTATTATCTTATATGGCAACGGATTATTTCAGCAAAACAGGGTGAATATGTGTACACTTTGCCAAAAATGCCATGCTGCTTTGTCGAAAGGACAGATCCCTAAATTTTCAGCTGCCAATAATATGTGGCTAGGTGATGTACCTTGTGAATTACAAGGGCTAACGATTCCAGAAGAAAAGCTGATCTCACTTTATCGTCACAACAGCTGTATAATAAAACTTCATTCGCCTTTTCATTCAACAACAACTGCCAAGGCAGCATTGAAAGGCAACTGCATTACATTTCTTCAAAATGTACCAAATATTGTCAATAGCTTACCACTTAAACTTGACGATTTATGCGATACACTCAAAGTAATTTTTGTTGGAGCTCGACCTTCCGAACGCATTCATCTTAAAAAAGTTCTAACAGTTCGGAAGAAAAAAATTATTCAAGCATTACACTGGCTGAAAAAATACAATGTACTTTATCAAAACGTCACCATAAATCTCGAAAATATTGCTGAATTACCAGAAGACGATGTACCAGAATGCATCATGTCAACATTAGAACAAAAGTTAGGTGACGAAAAAATTCAATCTGAAAGAGTTGGATATGTTCCTGATCCATTATCCAACCCAATAGAACATACTACTGCTGACACTATTCCCATTAGTAACAGGTGAGACCAATTAATAGATTAATTGTTCCATAAATCTTTTCTATTTTAGTGGTGTTCTCGATGTCAATGGAGCATCAGTATCTTCAGATGAAATTGCTAATTATTTTTTGCACAAAATTAAAAATAATGGAAACAAGGATCAGATGGATATCGAAAATGTTTACTTAATTCCTCACTCATCGAAACCTATCAACGAATATTTCAATCCAAAATTATTACTAGGTCTATATTCAACTTTATTCTGTTATGGGCATGGATCACCTGAAGATCAATCACGTTCACTTCAAATAAAATTACGAGAACACATACGTTACCTGTTATCGTACAATGACCGACGTTTTGAAACGAATCACAGTTTTATATTTGTGGTTTTCAATCTATTGCAACGACGTGATGCTTGCTTTCATGCTCAACTGATAGCAACGAGACCTTACTTTCGAGCATCTGCTGATGAAATTCAATCCTTGAAGAGTAAAGATATTGAAATAGCCCTCGGTAACACTTCCAAAAACACATATAGTTCAGAATCAAATAGTGCATTAAACAAACTATTGCATCATATCAAAACCATCGGTGGTCGAGTGATGGGTTCAGCATATTCACGGACGGCTTTACGGGCCAAGATTCATGCACTAATCTATAACCAAGGATTGCCCAGTATTTTTTTAACTTTGAACCCAGCCGATATTCACAGTCCCGTAGCATTGTATTTTGCAGGCGTCAAGCTTGATCTGGATAATATTCAAACCGAACAACTTATGGATACTTACAAGAGGGCTGAAATTATAGCTTCTCATCCTGTTGCTACAGCCAAATTTTTTCATTTATTGATCAGCAATATTTTAAAAACTATGATTGTTGATGGTGTTCTCAGTCCAATAAAGGCTTACTTTGGTACTGTTGAAAGTCAAGGACGAGGTTCTCTTCATCTACATATGCTTATCTGGCTTGATCATGATTTGAAACCAGCTGATATGAAAGAGAAAATTCAAAATGCTGATTTTCGTGAAAAGTTAAAAGCGTACTTAGAAGATATCATCAAAGAAGATTTAGATGACTTCAAGGATAAACAAGTCTTCGAGAATTTAAACGGTATAAAACATTTTGTTTTTATTTGAATATCATCTTCTGCTTTTATATTATAGTGCCAAGATCATTCGATACTCCTCCACGATTATCACAAGATAATATCTATGCGGCTTTACGTACTATTGATTTAACAGGTCTAGCCGAAAATATAAATAAATCTCCTGTTTGGTCGACACCAATCAAGCAACAACTTTCTCCATCAATTCCTTATGCTTCTCCATTATTGAATAAATCGTTACAGACACCAACACATGATCGGCCAACATCTAGTAAGAAATAGAAGTAATTAAAAAGATAAAGTATAGATCATATTTTAGTTATGAATGTTTTACACAATCAATCAAACATAAATCCAGCTTGCTTACCTACTCCAAATCCATCATCGCCTAATTTTGCAACACGCTTTCGTGCAGATGTAGTACAACTTGTGGAAACAGACAACAAGCACAAGCATACTGACACATGTTACAAATATTCTAATCCTAAACAAGGTGACAAGAAGATTTGTCGATTGCGTATGCCACGCAAATTGGTACCAGTCTCAACAATTGATCCTGATACTGGCCATATTTCTGTGCGACGATCGGATCCATGGATCAATAATTTTAATGAATACCTTATTGCGGCTTGTCGGTCCAACATGGATATTAAATTTATTTGGAGTGGTAGCGATGCAAAAGCTCTTGTTTATTATATTACCGATTATGTAACAAAAATAGCCTCTCTTTTCATGATACATTTGCTCTTGTGCAAAAAAGCATTACATCACTTCAGAATTCATTGCAACACACAAGCAACGAAAGTGCAATCGAGAAGTCGCGTAAACTTGTTTTACGCTGCTACAATACACTTGCTTCTCAACAAGAGCTATATGGAGTGCAAGTCGCTTCTTATCTCATGAATTGGGATGATCATTATACAACACACAAGTTCCAAGGTCTCTTTTTAATTCAAACTGAACGTTTTTTACAAACTCAATTGAATGAAACACGTGCTGAACGAAAATTAGAACTTCTATCGCAAGGTCAGTATTTTGATTGCTGATCTCATATTTTGGGAGTATTTATTATATGGAAATGAAATCTAAGATACAGTATCAAGAGGAGAAAGAAAGTAAAGGGAATAAATGGTGACAATGTTAATAAGAATATAAAACAATTCTTTGAAATATCATGTTTACTCCAACTATGAAAGAGAGAAACAGTGGAGATAGATTGAATCTGGATACTATGATTAATTTAAAATCATTTTTTTTTCATATATAGATGTGATCGACGATAATGTATATGATGATGAGGCTATTGACAATGAAAACAATGACGAAGAGCATTTTCAAATTCAATCGACTGAAAATGACAAAAGTTACGTACTCGTTAATACAAGAATTGATTACCAATTTCGCTCCGATATTCTCAAAAACATGTGTTTATATGACTTTGTGAGCACATTAAATAAGAAAAAAATGAACACAGCGGATCTTAAATATTTATCCAAGAATGCAGGATCGGTGAAAGAAAATATTAATCAAAAAGGTCGGCCACCCAGTGAACGTTATCTTTTTCAAAACCAGCATCCACAGGCTACAACATATTTAATGAGGAAATACAGTCAGTCTCATGTGCCTATTCTTTATGGTCCTCAAATTCCTCGACAAGATCGTGAGGACACTCGAGAACGATACAATCGAGCTCTTCTCACACTCTTCGTGCCCTGGCGTACTGTAGCTGATCTTTGTGATGTCAATGAAACATGGGAAGATGCATTTAAATCTCGAAAAAATTTTGTTTCCATGCATTCATGGCAGATTATAGAAAATATTCAACTTTTGCATGAATGTAAAAAGGACCGCGATGAACATTTACTTCAAGTTATTGCTGAAGCTCAAGTCGACACTGACTCAATCGATCCCGTACTTTTGCCAGCAAATCAGGATATTCATGGCGAATACGATATGGACGACAGCGATGACTTGCTTGAACTACTAGGCAATTTAGATGATTTAACAGCTGTTGCTGCAAACGCCACCAAAAGATCAACGGAGAATAAATATATTGAAGAAGCTATTGAAGCTGTTGAGAACGTCGGACGATTTACCCATGTAAATAGTAAGTGTTATTTTTATGTAACAAATATCCTTTGAAACATCGATAAAAAATTTGTTCTAGCACATGGTCAACGCATTTCTAGTGAATCCACGGATCAGATCGGTCAACAACTTTTACCATTCGTTTCTGCAACACCAAACTTTGTTCGACTTAATTTAAAGTATCAAGAACAGCTGAAAACTGAAAAGGAACGGATTAGACGAAGTTTGATTACGGGCAACTATGACAAAACAGATGATACGTTGGATTATGATGATGCACAAGATGCTATTGTAACTCTGATCGATCCAAACAATTATAATAAGAATAATATTGAAAACTGCGGCTCGATTCATCCAGTAATCTCATTTTCAACTAGCTTCCCTACTCAGAAAAGCATCGCTCACGAATTTACATTAAACAGAGAGCAACGAGCTGCATTTATGATAATAACAAGTCATCTTGATGGTGACAGCGGGCGTCGAACAGGTATTTTTATGATACACATAATTATAAATCGAAACATATAATATTTTTAGATAATAATAATGGTCAACTCATAATGTGCATACCTGGATGTGGTGGCACGGGCAAATCGCAACTGATTCGTGCTGTCACCAAATATTTTCTTGTTACAAAAAGGATGCAAATTCTGAGAAAACTCGCACCTACTGGAATTGCTGCTGCTGAAATAGGTGGCATGACGATCCATTCATTTTTAGGGGAACAGCGTAATTCACGAAAGCCACGAACTATCAAACCAGGTGATTTAAAACTTGAGAAAGAATGGAAACTTATTAAATATCTCTTAATTGATGAGATGAGTATGGTTGGTTTAACTCTACTAGCAAAACTGAATCGAATCATTTGTGTTGCAAAATGTCTGGATCCTCAAGTTCCATTCGGTGGTGTGAACGTGATCTTCTTTGGCGATTACCTACAATACCGACCTGTATATGATGTACCATTACACACCGATTTCTCATTGCCATCCAAAAAGAAATCGGGCAAATTGCCAAACGAAAACGAAATTCAACAACGTGTCGCACGCTCTCTAATTCTTCAAATTAACTGTGTGGTAAAACTTACTCAACAGATGCGAACAGAAGATTTACGATATCTTCAGCTACTCGAACGACTTCGTCATGGACAATGTAATCACGACGATTATGAATTATTGCTGGCACGAGTGGTTGGACAACCATCAACACCTTCTCTACATGATTCACCGTGGAATAAAGTAAGTTTTCTTTTCTTTTTGACACAAATTTTTATCTTCGTCTTTTTCAGGCGCCCATTCTCGTGTTCCGAAATGAAGTACGAACCCAATTAAACCACAAGGCAGCAATTCACAATGCAGCTCAATTGGGTTCCACGCCAATGGTATGTGTCGCTCAAGATACTTGCAAAGGCAAAACTATTGAAGATCCTACACTCATTAAAAAATTGTTAAAACTATCCGATAGCAAGACAGAACATTTACCTGGTTTGTTACCTTTTGTTCCTGGAATGCCTGTTATTTTAACACAAAACATTGCTACTGAGCTTGGTCTTATCAATGGCATTAATGGGATCTTTCGGCAATTAGTTTACCAAGCAGATTCTGTATCAACAGATGTTTTATCGGACTCATTTCCGAAAAACACGCAGTACGTTCGCCAACCATTGTATGCATTGATAGAAATTGCCAAATCGAAGATTGAATGTAATCTTGAAGAACTTCAACCAACACTTGTTCCAATACCGTTAATGGAGCAAACATTTCGCGCCGACATTGCTGACATTCTTCCAAAAGATAAAAAGTCAAAATCAAATCAAAAAGCAATTTTATCAATTAAACGACGTGCACTACCACTTGTGCCTGCTTATTGTATCACGACACATAAGAGTCAAGGTCAAACTTTGAATAAGGTTGTAGTTGATTTGAAGCTGCCAAATGAAAGTGATGACATTGCCGCAGTTTATGTACCATTGTCACGTGTAAAACGTTTAACTGATCTAATTGTTTTACGGCATTTCGATTACAAGGTTCTACTCATCAAACCTAGTAAATCTCAACTCGCTGAAATGCAAAGACTCGATAAGCTGTATATTGGCACGCAAACCCGTTTTTCCGAGTGGTTTCAATGATTTTTCTGTATTGTATGAAAATTCTTATTATTCATGTCAGTTTTTTTATGTATAACTTTCTCCTCTTATCTGTTCACACCATGTTCTATACATTTAAAAAATAAAAATATTTTTTGCTGTATTAATGGCTTGTATATATTAGCATCGTTTTTCTTTTTTTCATTATAATGTGGAATCATATTTGCTAGATACCGATATTTCTTTTTTTTTGTATATTGAATATGTTCAGGTCATATCATTTATCAAAAAATTTTTAATATAAATATTCTCAATTATTGTACAAATTCATAGTACTCATTAAATTATTCTGTGAAACGATGCAAATTAACGATGATGTATAAATTTGATCGTAAAACATATTCATAAAACTGCATTTGTAGTTGATGTTTAAAATACTTTTGTATCGCATCATGATATAACTACATTTCAAGTGAGCTGTATACGAGGTAGTCGAGTTAACTACGAGCACTTACTAGCAATTGAACACAACATATCTCATATTATCGCTATTATATGATACCGGGATATGCGCGTCGCTAAATGGCTTCATAAGTTAATGCACACTTGTGCGCCCGTGATTTAACTTTCTCTATAACTTTAGATTGAAAACTGATCCTTTCTACCTACTATTAACTAAACAAAGAAGAGTTAAAGACATTTTTTAACTGTCGTGATTTACAAGAAAGAATTTTACGCCGCCACTTTTAAAAAACACTTTATTTCATAAAGTACTTGATACAAAAGGCGATTTTGTTTGCGAGAATCATTATAACTCTAAACTGACCATATTGATTATTATAGACGATTATAACAGTATTGTACCAGTTATATATACATGTAGACATTTTATACTATCACCAGTTGTTTCCAGAAGGGAACTTATTATGTAAATAGACTAAGCCATTCAGTCGAGGGTCAAGCGAGTCAATGCGACGAGCGTTACTTGTTTTAATCCAACCCTTACCATTTTTCATTTTCACAGGAGCAGTTCTATTATCACTTTCATTTTCAGTGATATCTTCGTCATCAGAATTTTCTATAATTCGATCATTATCTGTTTTTTTCTTTGAAATATTATACATCGAAGCAAAATCAGCCAGACAAACATTTTTCATTTCGTCAGGTCTATTAACATACATCTCAATTAAGCCCTCAACAAACACATCTTTTGAATCAGGCTCCAATTTTTGAAGAATTTCATCTGATTTGAGCATAGAAATTCTATTTTCAGGTCTGTTTGTATTAATAAAAACAGTACTTCTGCTACTGATGGAAAGTGGAATACTTAAAATATGATAAACAGCTTCTTGTGCAGAAATTTCACTTGAATTCAAAAATTTATTTGCAATAACTCTAAGACGTTCTCTGACTGTGTTATTGCCTTTTTTTAACTCGTTCAATGCTTCTCGTAGAAGTTCAGACATGCCATTTCCAGATTTGTTGATGTATTCAACACAGTACTTTAAGCATGCATAAGAATCAAGAATGAACTGAATGTCCATATTTGCTCTGTGTAATGGCATTATTTGTGGATTATATGCATTGATTCGGATTTCATTTGGAGCACGTTTCAAGAAGACCTTTGCTTTTTTTAAGTCAGCTCGAATCATTTTAATATATTCTTTTTCACTCATATTAATATGTACCAAGAATTCATCAAAAGTTAATGAGTTATCGATATCTTTTGATATCTTTTCAAGTTCTTTCATTACGTTCTCCTTCTTTTTACTTATTTCTTCACGTTCTTTTTTAGTTAACTTTTCGTCGTCACTAAATGGTTCCAAAATCATAGTTTCTCTCATCGGAAAATATGGAATACTAAAACGACATTTAATACAACCGTTCACATATTTTTTACAGGTATGTGAATGTTTATGACGTTGCAAACTTATAAGTTCTTCAGAAAATTGTGTTGGTTTCGAACTAACTGAAATCAGTTTATCAATAAATTCTATACATTCTTTAATTGATTCAGGTTTATTTTTGTCGTATTTTGGAGCATTTTTTAACCATATCAAGGCATGAACATGTGGTGAACCACGAGCTTGAAATTCAATTCTGACATATTTGTCTTCTAGTTCATAGCCTTGAAATGGACCAGAAGGAGCTGATAATATTTCCCATAGACATTTTAATCTATGTTCAAAATAATGAACGCATGTTACAGGATCTTGTCTTATTAGATCACACTTCTTTTCATAGCTCATATTCTCTGCTTCTTCTAATGTTATGACTTTATTTCCCAACACGTTAGCCAATATTACAATAAGTTCTGACCGCTTTGTTTCTGCTGCTGATAAAGTCAAAAAGATTGTAGCACAACCTAATTGCCTGTTCATGGCCATAAGTTCCTTTTTTTTCAGTTCCCAGAATGCTGGTGATGATCAATCACATCTCAAGAATGTGAAAGCGTCATCATTCTGTATTAATCCATTGACATAATCTCGATTGAGCATTTGTGCAACAGTTACATTTTTTGTATTTTTTGTTTTTCTTAGAGTTATTGAAATAGCATCTGGAAACTTTCTCGTTCGCAATTCCTTATAGGTAAAAAATAGTTTCGATATTCTACCACATCTTCGATCGAACATTCTTAATTCTGACTTAGCAATTTTAGCGTAAGTCAATTTAACATTTTCTTTGATTTTTCTTTGTTTACCACAATAAATTTTTGGAAATGTTAATTCATCAACTTTCATATCCATCAAAATTGATATCGGTCTGTTATTCTCTGCTGGAGCAAATTTAATACCGATATCATTCTGATCTTCAATCTCATCATTTAATAATGTTTCGGTAGCTACTGGATTGATTGGTTTATCATCGGATTCATTCCAATTGGCATCATTATCATCAAATTCTGATTTCTTCATGATTTCATTCGCATCAATTTTTTTATCTTCATCTTTAACAATGAAATTTTCTCGTTCATTAGAATACTCATTCAACCAATCATCGGATATAATGATACCTTCGCCTTTATATAGTTCCTGTTCGACAAGATATTTAACAGCTGTATGTACAACTTTTGGCCGAATTGTTTCATACATAAAGGCGTTTTTATTTTTCATTTGTCTCATGAGTTTTAGTTGGATTGTATGGGTATCGCTAAACTTTCTCGGTAAGACCGAAACATTTGTGTCAACATTCATCGGAACATTGATCAGATTACCTTTGAGACCAAACTGTTTACAGAAGCCTAACGTTCGAATCACCATAAAAGGAATTCTTGGTGATGTTAATCGTTCTTCTAATTCAGTCAAGATTTTCAAACAATCTGGTATTTCATAGAATGCTAAACCATTAGATAGGCAAAGATTAGGTACTTTATTCGACATAATGTCCTTTCTACAAGTAACACATAATTTAATGATTGCATTTTTGAGATAACAGACTGTATCAATAAATTCTTTTGGTAATCCTTTATTTCTCAACATCTCAACTGTGAATTCTTTGATTGAATATTCGAACCATAAACCGCCACAACAACTGCAAATGTGAGTAGGTCCTTCTTTTATTTTTGATTCATAATTTAATTTCATGAGATGAAAATTATTTTCGTATTTATCTCGACTCATACGCATTCTTGATGCATTTCTTCTTCTCTCTTCCTGTTTGTATTCTTCATCTTCACGTTTAATTTTCAGTGAATTCAGTCTTCTGTCATTTTCCTGTGTTCTGAATTCAATATTGTGACGTTCAATTTTATGAGCTTCTGCTCTTCTCTTATTTTCTTCTGTTTTGAATTCATCATTTTGTCGTTCACTCATAAGAGCTTCAGCTCTTCTTTTATTTTCTTCTTTTTTGAATTCAATATTTTGACGTTCAATTTTATGAGCTTCTGCTCTTCTCTTATTTTCTTCTGTTTTGAATTCATCATTTTGTCGTTCAATCATAAGAGCTTCAGCTCTTCTTTTATTTTCTTCGTTTTTAAATTCATCATTTTGTCGTGCTATTTGAAGTGATTCTGCTCGTCTTCTATTATCTGACAAGTGGAATCCATCATCATTTCTCTTTTCCCTCATTCTCTTTGTCATTTCGGCATTTTTCTGAGAGACAGATCTTCTTTTTAATTTCGGCATTTTCTCTCACAATTTAAAATGTTGCACTTTTGGTACGACTGATCTTTTAGAAATGTAGAAAGTGAAATAAGATGCGATTAGATTAGCTGTTAAATTTTTAAATGATCTAGACTCTTCAATCAGATTAAGCACGTATATATACTAAGTATAACTTGTACTTAATGAGAAACGTATGTATCTCTTAACTTTTTGAGATAAACTAATAAACAAGAAAGTTTCTTTCGAGAAAAATCTTCGTTAAACTTAGTGAAGATTCACTCGATTCTAAGTAAGAAACTTTCAAAACTTGAAGCTTTGATAGCCTTTCTTAAACAGTAAATAAATGAAGTATTTTTTTGTTTCGTTTAATTGTTTTACAAAAGTAATTTTTTTAAACAGTAAATGTAGTATTTTTTTGTTTAATTGTATTACAAGATTAATTTAGATAATTGAAATCTACAAAGTACAACAAATTAATTTAAGATCAGCCAGACGTTATATGAGAGAAGCTTATGCGCAAGATCACTTAGTTCAATATATGAATTAGATAAACGAATAGTTAAGAAATCATTTAGTGGCTTTAAGTAAATTAAAAGCACTGAAAAAATAGATCTTTTTATAGAAAAAATCTTTTATTTATTTTTTATTTAATACAACAACAACAACTGTACAAAAATTCTCTCATACAACATGTTGTTTTATGAATTTTTTTTTGTTTTCGATGAATTTATGTGGTAAGTGAAAAGACAAACATATTTTTGATGTTGTTGTTGTTGTGGTAAATGATATGATGAATATGATTTATTTTTTTTATCTTTTTAATGCTTCTTTAAAAAGTTCAACACTAAAATTACATAAAATTTATTTCAAATTTTAGATAAAAAGTGATGTAGACATACATAGTAGATTTAAAAACTTCGACAGGTATATGTTGTTGTTGCTGTTCTTGATTTGGAGCTCGTTTTGAAATCTTCGGTAATTTGGATATTGAATTAATATTTCGTTCAATTATTTTAATATTTACTGCTTCTTGACCTCGTGAAGCTATAAAAAAAAGAAACTTATTTTTAGTTTGTTAGGCCTTTACTCCTTTTATTTTATTATTCTCACCCTTTCTTTAAAAAACAAAACAAGTGAATGATGAAAAACAAAAAAGCAACAAAGAATGTCTTTCTCTCTCTTTCTCTCTTCTTCCATGATATACCTCGTTGTTTATTTTCAGAACAAAGAGATATCATGGAGCGACGAGAAGGAATGCCATTAACGAGAGCTGTAATATTATAGAGAGAGCCCTCTTATGTCAGGAGATGTCTCTCCTGACATAACA